GCCCTGAGGCTCCTCGTACCTGCGCCACTGCGGCGGGTGCTCATGTCTGCCACATAGGTCCATTCATTGGTTGCTGGGTTGTACTGCTCCACGGTACTCAGGCACTGGCGGGAAGCCCCATCATAACCCCCGACAGCATACAGCTTCCCTGGAACAGACAAAGTGGTTGAGGGTGGTGGCAGGGACAGTGGCACAGAACTGGAGCTTGGCTGAAACTCCATTGTTAACCCACTGGGGCACCTTCATCGCCATGAGAGTTCAGGGCCCCTTTCCTCCAGAGGGACCACAAACCAGACTATGCATTCTTCACAATTCTGCCTTCTACTTCCTCTTAAGCCATGAGGCTCCTTAATGCAGTTCAGAGCATCTTTCTAAATAAGCACCCTAAATACCCAATGCAAAGCTATGGCCTGGCACCACTGTGGCTCAGCATATTCTTGCTAGCGAACTATATTAGATCTTCTCCAGAATAAGGCACCCAAGAAATAAAAAGCTAGTGGGGCCCAGCTACAGGCAGGCAGATTGACTTTTGGCTAATGGCTTACAACAGCAGACAAAACAAATATGAGAAGATATTCTTCAGTGAGAACCCAAACCGTGACTTTACCATACTTCATGTGCTCCATCCACAATTCCAGCAAAGGGAACATGTGGTCGCAGCATGGTGTGTGCACTCTGGGCTGGGGTGGCTGGAATTCATCGAAAGGCTCCCTTGTGATCTTTAAGCCATGCGCAAGATCACTGAAACACCATTACGCATAAATAAAAATACCATAAGTTGTTATCTAAAGGCATCATTTCTGCCTGGGGATGGACATATGCGGTTGGACGAGGGGCAGGAAATCAGCATTTCAGCTCCCCTAGAGCAGAGATTCAAACATGAAGGGTCTCTTCTTTCTGTCTCTCTCTCTCTCTCTCTCTCTCTCTGTCTCTCTCTCTCTCTCTCTCCCCCCGCCCCCGTGTGTGTGTGTGTGTGTGTGTGTGTGTGTGTGTGTGTGTGTGTGTGTGTGTGTGTGTGTTTGTTTGTGTGTGGTAGGGGCAGTCCTACCTCACCTAGGCCTAGGCCTCAGACCTATGGGGAGTAATGGAGTTATAATAAGGATCTCAAACACTAACTGTAGACTAAATAAACACTGCCAAATGCAAATCCACTGAATAGAGTTACTAACCAAATGAGGTGCCTTTTTTTTTTTGTCATTATGTGCTTTCCTGAGGGAGAAATACCAAAAATAAAACTACTATTTGGAAGTGTGCCATTTTTTTAAATTAGAAAGAAGCTCAAACTGCTGTCATATCAAATATAAAATTACTGCGGCGCCTGGTTGACTCAGTCGGTTAAGCGTGTGACTTCAGCTCAGGTCATGATCTCAAGGTTTGTGAGTTTGAGCCCCACATTGGGCTCTGCGCTAACAGCTTGGAGCCTGAAGCCTGCTTCGGATTCTGTGTCCCCCTCTCCCTCTGTTCCTCCACTGCTCACACTCTGTCTCTCTCTCAAAAATAAATAAACATCTACAAAAATGTTTTTAATTATTTATTCTTCTATCATTGAGGCTGGTTTTGTTTTCTGCCCCAGAGTCCTTTCCAGGGACCCTTCTAAGAAAAAAGGGACACGTCCTCCCCAGTTCTGCCCTTACGTAAGCCAGAGCACAGATTCCTGACCCAACAACTCTTCCAGGGTCCAGACTGCTCCCATGACATAGGCTGGCCAAGATGCAACAACCTGCCCACCAGCTGCCCTCTGCTCGCCAAAACCTAAGTCATTCAGGTGTGGAGGAGATGCGGAGCTCCCGAGAACAACCCCAGTGTCATTCAGACCAGACAGCCATGACAGAGGACAGAGAGAGGGCAGGGAAGACTGTGACCATGTGGAGAGCCCTATCTCCAAGGCCACGGTGAAGCAGAGGCCCCTTAAAATCCTCCTGAAACATTCTCACCAAAGCTATGAGGAGGACACACTGCAGCCCCAAGGTGACCCACAGCCAAAGAGCTTCAAATTCAGAATGGACAAGATCAACAAATTCCCAGGCTGTCCCCTGTCTCAACAGGCACGCTACAAGACAGCACTTCCTCCACACACAGAACATGCTCACACAAACCCTTGTCAAGGGGAGCATTTCAAATCACGACCACGAAGGCAACTTCTCTAACCTGCCATCAACCATCCTAACCTTGCATCAGCTGAAAAAATACCGACTCAAGGTTTCTCCTTGAGTCTATTAACAGGGACTTGCTATTTTTAACCCCTACACTATTGTTTAGTATTCCTGGCTGAGGAACAAGGGAGGAAATGGGAAGGTGGCTAGACAAAGCACTTATATTTGGCAGACAAATCAATTTCTGTTTCCACCAGGAGGATGAGATTGCAAGAAACAATTTATCTTGAGAGGAGGACAAAATCCTTGCACTCACCAAAATGACTCATTTAGTATGTTAGAATAATATACTTCTAAATGAAAATTTATGCAATACTGGTACAAACCAAGAAATGCAGTGAGAGAGAATATTTCTACTAATGTCTGTCTAATCACTGCACATTACACTCTCCCTAAAGCAAGTAAGTGTGTTCTTGTGGATGCATAGGAGATGGGGGGGGGGGG